TATTATATATATATATGTTCACTACAAAATGTTCCTTCATTTATATCCCCCTTTTTATTTACTTTTGTCAGAGATATGTATTCCATTGCCATTCATATATTGTAGGTGCATGAATTCAGCAGAGTAATCCAATATAGTCCAGTAGTCCATAATAGTAGTGGGTTACCCACATGACTGGCAATGTTGGAAGTTGTTGACTTGAGCCTTTTACAGCTCAGCATATTAATATGCCTTTACTTTTTATACCTCATTTTTATACTTTTCTGCTGGATGGTTAAAACCAAGATAAAGCAAGACCTATATAATAAAAAATGTAACTTTTGTATCTGACAAAGTCAGTCAAATCCTCTCAGGACTTAACCTTAAACCCTGTACAGCAGTTTGTAGATCTTTTGTCAGTGTCAGCCATGTGGATGAGTCATGGGCCATTGTTAGACCAATTTGCTCTCTGTGAAAGCTTGAGAGAATGTTTTCTCTCCATATGACTCTCCTTAGGCACACTCTACATCATCGATCACTTTCCTCTGTGGCCCCATAATCTCCTTGATCAGAAAATTTGGGACACCACTGAGTTACAGGATGTTACAGTTCAGATTCTCTTATGTCCTGAGTCCTCACTGACCTTGAAGGGCCAGGGCCAAAATGTTTGCTATGCTTGTAGCCCTTCTTTTTTTCTAATTTTTTGGTCTGCAAACTTAGTTGTTAATCCTCCAGAAGAGAGGCTTAATGATATTATTACCCTAGAACATAGACTGTTGAGCTTAACCTCATTATCTGTCTGAATATCAAATGCCTTAGACATAATATGGAACAGGTATTTTCCATCAATCGTTGATATGCTAAGCTTTAAGTCTGTACAGAATGTGAAAAAAGAAGAATATAAAATAGTAAAAAATAGAAATAATTACAAATTTTTACACAGAAATTTAGAAATCTAACCACATACAACATTATAGCAGGACAGTCCTATCACATTTTTTTCTTGTCTCTTGTTTTCATTTATTATCTTTTATTTTTAAACAAAGATTTACTTGAGAGACAGCATAGCAGTAAGTGATATGACATTAGAGGCAGTACACTTTTAGAAGACTGGTATGACATGGATTCTAAGCCTGGCCCTAGTATTACACATTGCTATCTTCAGTGCAGTTGTTTAGTTCACAGGTATCAGCATATATAGTTAGTCAGAGTGAGAATCTTCCAAGTAATTGCTAGTTTCAAAAACCTGATGGAAATTCTCAGGATCATTGCCTTAACTGTCTTGTGTATATACATGCATGGTTTTGCCCCGCCATGTTTCCTAGCTTTTCTCCTTGCCTTCTCTTCATTGGAAGATACAAGTGAAATAAACCAGACTCACATGTGTAAATGTCATATAGTCTCCCTAGTGTAAGAATTCAAAAGAAGAAATAAAAATTGAAAAGTGTATCACAACTAAGTGGAAAGTGTTGTGTACCTTGTGAAAGCCTATGAAGACAGCAGTGAATCATGCAGTGCCTGAACAGGCCATTGCTATTTTCAAGACATTTTCCTGGCAATGAAAGTAATGAGAGCCAGTCTCCCCGGCACAGACACTGTGGACTCTCTGGGCACCTTGCATGTGTCACTTACTCATCTCTAACCTTGCTGTAGTGCTCTGAGGCAGGGCTCTTACTCCTTGCATTTTTTACTGAGAAACAAATAGTAATGAGACAGTTTCAAAACAGGTTAGTAGGACAGTTACAATAATTAATACATTGCATATTGTTGTCTTCGTAGTAGTTATTCCTAGTACAAGATGCAGACATGATATCCTGTCCAAACTCTATATTAGATTATTTTGCTGAATTCATGCACCTATAGTATTTGGAATACCCATCTCTGACAAAACTAAATAGAAAAAGGAGATATAAATGAAGGACCATTTTGTATCTGTACATTCAAAACAGGATAGATATACAGCTACTTTCTCTTAATTCAACTCCTTGCTTTGGAAAGGTGAGGTGCACACACACACACACACACACACACACACACACACAGAGTTGTGGTTTTGGAGTTTTTTTGTGAGGCAAACAATATAGTGCAGAACACATTTTATAATGAATCACCCAAGAATCACATACAAGTGCAGGAAATCCATCCACACACTAAATACCAAAGAATCCAGCTGACAGCCTAGATCCTAATATCCTGCATGAGTCCAGCTGGAAACCTAGAGCTCATAACAATGCCCCCGTAAGTCAAAGTGGAGGCCTAGAGCCCACAACAAAGTCTCATTCAGGCCTGCTACACAGATCTGTGCTGGGAAGGCCCAAAGGTCAGTGGTGGAAGCTAGGAAGTCTATGCCAGCCGGATGAAGGATCTGTTTTAGCAGGCTGAGGGATCTGAACTGGAGTGAGGAAGCAATGTGCAAGGTAGGCACTAGAAAAGTATAATAGCCATCCTCAGCAACAGTGAGGTCCTGAGCTCCTCCAGACATGAGGAACGCTGAGTCTCCATCAGGAAAGCCAAGGCAGCAAGCCTGTTCATGAGGATGAGCAGTGCACCA